CAAAGTCTGTATACTCCTCTCTTCAACTCACTCAATCACGAAGAGATTAACTGCCATGAACAATGAATCAATATTCATCGCATATAATAATAATAATATGACAAGAGAACAAATTTTTTGCAAAACAAAGAATATTTGTAGATAGATTGTATTTAGGTAGGAACAACTGTAGCAGCATTTTCCTTGAAAACTTTTCAAAATAAGAATTATTAAAATAAATCAATTCCATGCTTCTGTTCCTTAATAAAACAACGGTAAAAAAAAAAAAGAAAGTTATGCGTTTGTACATGATATCAATAAACAATTAACAATTATTAGATGAAGGATATACCAGCTCAACTTAGTCAAATAAATGTTTCATATCCGGTGGTATTTCTACTCTGCTCTCGAGATCTTTGTATTCTATTGTCATCTTCCTCGGCATCTGAAATAAAACAAATATATGCTTATTTCACAAGCATTAACTAAACTAATTAAATACAACAAATTAATTAGCTGATGTATCCATCTCATTTATTGAAAGAAATATTATGTAAAATGAATTGTATGTCTTACTTTTCTCCAGTGTACTGAATCGAACACATAATACGTTCCTTTCTCAAATGTATTTGTCTGTTCAGTAACACTTTCATAACTGAAACGTCTCACCCATAAACGTTCCACTTTATGATAACGCCATTCTTTTCCATACCTGAAAAAAAAAACGGAAATATTTAGATACTTGAAGGAAAAAAAAAAAAAAGAAAAAAAGGAAATTTTACAACAAAAAGTAAGCTATCAATTAGCGCTCAATTAGTTTTAAATATCATACTATCTAAAATGTAGCAAAACTTAAAAACTCACAGCCCATAAGCAGCAGCAATTTGATATTGCTCACCCGGATAATTATAAAATATGTAAAATAATGCATCTTCTTCTAGCAGTGAAAATTTCATTTGTGCTAATTTGTCGCCAATCAATGAATTCAACTTATACTCTTCCGGTATCTATACTGATTTTACATCAAAAAAAAAAAAAAAAATTAAGTAAAAATGAGGAGGAAGTCATTAAAAAGCCAATTAGAGAAGTGGACATAGGAAGAAAGTTGAATCGGTAAAATGATTATCAGTGTTTATGAGTGAGTAATTGATTATCAATGTGACAACAATGAGGGGACAGACTATTCCATACGATGCAGAATTCTTAAGTGTGACAAGATATCCTTATCATCAATATCTAGTTAAGCTTACAGTAGTAACTCGGCAAAATTTTTCTTCAGTTAAATTTAAGCTTGTATGCTTAAAAAGCTTAAATACGAACCTTAACCTCAATGTGTGGTGCATGATTCGGCCTTTTTGCCCATGGTCCACCATATTTTTGATGAATTTCGCATCTAAAACTAACAAATGAATAAATGCATGTTCACAATTTAAAAATTGTTTAAAAATGATTTTTATTCCGTTAAATTAATTTTGAATGGAAATCTCAAATGTTAATGTTTTGATTGATTCTGTAAAAAAATTGTTGCCATTTTTTTCTACTTTTTGCTAATCATCTTGTTAACTTTAATTACCTTGTTAACTTTATCAATTAATCTAATTAACCTACCTGCCATGTCCACTTGGATCTGGTACTTCAAGCCTAAAAAAACAAAGAAAACAAGTAGCATAAATTCTTTTTTTTTTTTTCAATATATATATAGCATAAATTTTAAACTTCAATGTGAAAAATAATTTATTATATTATAATTAATTAAAAATGTGTTATTTAAATAAAATTAAAAAAGATTTATTAAAGTTGAAGAAATTTATGATTAGAACGAATGCTGAAGATTGATTACTTTGAGAGAGTTGAATATTCCGAATATATTTCACTCCAAATAGTATACCAAGAAGAAGAATTATGCATTCCTTTCACTGTTAACATTTTGTTTGCCAATTTCCTTCAGTTTGTTTAATTTTCCATTGATAATAACTAATCATATATTATCCTTCTCTACTCTCTCTCTCTCTCTCTCTCTCTCTGTGTGTGTGTGTTTTCCCCTCCTTTTATGTTCATTATTATTTTTTTTAGACTTTTAAATTATTTTTAAATGATAAACACCGGAAAAAGGAAAAAAAACAAAAAACAAAAAACAAACTTAAGTTTAATTTCTATTAAAAAAAAAATCTAATACCCAAACTTACTTAGAATTCATGCCTAAACCAATTTCTAATGGATCTTCACCAATCAAAACTGTTGAAAGTGCTGAATCAAGTTGCATTCCTCGATAAGCAGACAAATATCCGACCATTCCAAATTGATCAGTTAACATAGTTGATGGAATATTAGTTACAGTACCTTTAAATTTAAAATTCACTCAAAATAATATAAAAAATAAGCAATAAATAATGATTTAATGAATAAATAATCATAAATTAAAGTGAAATATATAAAAGAACACTTTTGTTTAAATAAATTTTGATAATTTAAGTAAATATAAATGAAATGAATAAATGAACATAACAAACCATCCGGATATATCTCTATTTTTGGTTTTGATTCAGGTTGAAAATCCTGCAAGAAATTTAGTCGAAGTTTAAATTTGGATTAATTCATTTCATTAAAACTGTTAGCTTTTTTATTAAAAAAGCAAACAAAATTAGATGTTTTCTTCTTTTTTTTTTTGGATAAAATATGATTTAACAATTCGAATTGTTTATTTGCAGTTTTTTTCAATGCTCTCTGAAATTTTCAATCTTCTTTTCATGATAAATGAAGAAGAATGCATTCGAATGCTTTCAAAAACTCATAAATAGCAAATTTATGCAAATGAATGAAAGAGAGAGAGAGAGAGAGAGAGAGAGAGAGAAACCTGTAAAGTGGAAGTCCCTGCTACTGGCATCCTAATTCTACTTGGCTCATTTACAGCTCCACTTGGATCATTTATAATTCCACTTGGCTCGCTCATAATCTTACTTGGACCACTTATAGCTGCACTTGGCTCACCAACAGTCTTACTTGGTTCACCTACAGTTTCACTTGGCTCGCCCATAGTCTTACTTGATTCGCTTGCAATTGCACTTGGCTCGCCAACAGTTACAGTTCCACTTGGCTCACCCATAATCTTACTTGATTCGCTTGCAATTCCACTTGGCTCACCCATAATCTTACTTGCTTCGCTTATAGTTTCACTTGGCTTATCCATAGTCTTACTTGGGTTACCTGTAATTCTCCTTGACTTGCCCTTATTCTTACCCCGTCGTTTGCCCCTTGATGATAAAGTGCTTTGCAATGTTGGAAAATCTTCATTTCGTATTTGAAAATCAGTCTTTGTTGGTGACTGTCTCGGTGATTTCTCTGATTCCTGTTCCATTATTTAATCGTTTCAAAATTCACTGCAAAAATGAAAAATTTTCTTACCTTCAAACATAAACATTGAATCATTTCAAATCATTTTGTGCTAAAATTTTTATCAAAAATCTTTTGATTTTACAAAAAAAAAAAAAAAAATCTCTTAAATTGTATTTAAAATAATCTGAATCCCAAAAAAAAAAAAGAAAAACGAAAGATCATTTGATTATATAATCAGTATCTAACTATTATCACTACTTTTCATCTATAGACCACCTACCAAAAATAATATTTCAAAAATAAAATGCAACAATTAAACTTCAATAATTATTCATAAAGTCTGAAATACATTTTGTTTTGTTAAAATTAGAAAAAAAGGAAATTATTAATTAACTAACTAATTAACTAACAACATTGATGATTGATATTCATTTTAATTTTATAAATAATTATCATAGAAATTGTAGAACTTACCTTTAATAATATCGTAGTAACAGTAGTAATAAGTAATATTACTTGTAGAAATAAATCAAATGAAAAAGGTTAGAAAAAAAAAATAAACAACAACAACAAGAAGATTTGTCACTTTTTGAAAGTAACAATGAAGATATCTTATAGATATATTAGTTAATATTCCTCTGAGAAATTTTCCGCGCATATTTGCTAAAAATACCGCTTTTATGGAAAAGATATCTATCTACCTATGGATAAAAGAATACAAAAAATACCTCTGAAAAAGATGCTTTTCGATTGTACAAAAAAAAAAAGGAATAAAAAATTTAAAAACATTATCTTTTTAAATATTAACTTTATACTAGTTAATTTTTTGAGTTATTTTTAAGAGTTTTTCGTTTTTTTTTTTGTTTCTTTTTTTCTATATTAGTTTGAAACTTGCAACAATTTTGTCTATTGTGCTATATATCCAATGTTTACAATTGAAATTTTAACTGTATTTATTATTTTGCAAAAAAGATATGAAAACAAATTTAAGTTTTATTATCGTTAGATAAAAGTGATAACAGGCTAGGAAGAAATAATTTGATTACAGAGTTATCTTAATCATTTTGAAAAGTATCAAAAATTTTAATCATTAAGATAGAAATTAATTCTAATTTTGTAAGAATGATGACTACTTTGTTTCATCTATGTTTTGCAAGTTGACAATGAAAGCTCAGTTAATTTGCGCATTAAGCTCGAATTGATTAAAGTTTACAGAGACAAACGTACTGATCAAATCCCTTACCACAGATCCTGCACTCCTCTTTCTTCACAATAAAATGAATGATTTTGAAGTGTCAATGTAAATGATCTTACTAAACATTTTATTTTATTTTATCTTAAACCTTGCATCTATTTTCTTCATTAATTTTTTTTGTAGAACAGTAAATCAAATGCGAAGTGTTTATTGCAAATAACAACGTAGCAAGAAAACATACAAAAAGATTTCAGGATTCAAACGTAAAATTTTTTTTGTCTCTTTGATCAGTACGAGAAGGATAAGTGGTATGTATATGTATGTGACTGCACGATTAATTTTATTTTACGAGAGTTTTCATTTAAGGAAATACAAAGTCTTCTAAAATTTGAGTAGTCTGTATTTCTTTTTACAAGAGATGACTAAGGGATGGAAATGGAACGCATGCGTTATTATAACGCCAGTGATTGGTCAACATTGAGAAGGTTGGCAACTATGAACCATTTTGCGATGCGGTTGTAGAGGATGATTGCGCAACTTGTGGCTGACCCGACTGTTGCAAAGATTGAGGCAATTTCGGCCGTTCTTCAAGCTCTTTATACTCCAACGTCATATCTCTCGGTATCTAAAATGAAATGATTAAGACTTCAAAATGTCAAGAAACAAGAAACAAATGAGAACTAGTACGATTTATGCAGAAATTTATTGAGGTGAACAAATATTTAAGGGCACAGCGAATAGATATCGTCAGCGTTGTCGTGGAGAACCTCTTAAGATACGACTACAAAATAGACATGACAGTATACTTCCATCTGGACTATGTATACTGCCAAGTCGTCTTTTAACCTAGCTGCTAGTCAGTCTATCGGTTGTACTAAGCAATTCAGTTTTCTAGGCAACAATGAGAACCAAATTTTCGGATCTATTTGAGGATTCAAATCAGTTAGAAATTTAAACAGAAAAAATAAAAGGTAAATATAATTGCTTTATGATTTATTCAAATAAATTCCAAGCATTAAGAAATCTCACTTTTCGCCACTGTACAGGGTCGAAAACATTGTACGACCCTTTTTCATAGGTTGATGTCTGCTCTTTGACACCTCCATATTGCGATCGCGTTAGCCATACACGTTGACTTTTATGGAACCGCCAATCCCTACTGTATCTGAAAAAGAAAAAGGTATTGTATCCAGGATTTAATAGTTCAAAAAAAAAAAAAAAAAGACTGGTCTGATCTGCATAAATTAAAGGCCATCATTAAAACTTAAAACTTTAAGAAAACGACAACCACAGAGTCAAATCAGATAAACATCAGATAAATCCAATGAAATAATATAACAGCAGGTACCGAAGACTTATAAGCAGATGCGTATGATAGATATTACACCACTATTACTGACAAGTTACACTGAATAATCTCAGTTTTGTCACTACTACTTATTTATTTGAATTTATGAAAACTTACAGCTCACTAGCAGCAGCGACCTGATAAACCTCGCCTGGACAATTATAAAAGAGGTAGAACAGCACATCCTCTGATAGCTTGCTCAATTTGATATTCGGCAGCTTATCTCGAATCGAAGCATTCGTTAAATATTCATCTGGCACCTAAAATGCTTTCTATTTACCAAAAATCAAACAAAAATTATAAAAAAATTAATATGCAATATGAAAGCAATAAAATCACAATTTTTTAAACAAACACTAATAAAACTAGCCTTCGCTTCTAGATCCTGTATCCGACATGGATAATCTGCCCATGGTCCTCCAAACGTTGCATAAATGTTTCGCCTGGAACTAATGAATAAATAACTTAATGTCGACATGAAAAATATCTCCTTAAAAGTAGATTCACCCTCTTCCTCCTAAAGTCGAGGTGTATCAAATTTCAAATTGTTCCTGACATAATCAAACTTCATTCCCATATCGTGCAATCCAACATCATTTCTCTCTGCCATGAACCTACCTTAATCTCGTTTTGATATCAATTTTATCCTGGTATATTTCTAAAATGTTGGAAAATGACCAAAATTAAATTTTTCTTTTTTAAAATAAACGCTACCAATGGCCAAAAGCCAACTGAAAACCTCGAAACAAGGCTTACTCGGTGGAATTCAGATTCAGTCCCAGAGTTGTCAAATCATGACCAAGAGCAAGTGCAACAATAGCAGGATCGGTTTCAATTGCGCGCAAAAATGTCAACAATCCGGCCATACCAAATTGGTCGCTCAACATGCCTGCTGGGATATTCTTTACCGTACCTGCAACTTTTTAGGATGAAGGGATATGTCAGAATTTTATATTTTTAACGTAAGGATACAAGCCATTACAACACACAAAATGAAAACATTATTATATTGTTTTATGCAGGCTACTGCATAAATTCACTGATTTCTTCATTATGATATAACTCTACTTCTCAATTGTCGTTTTATCCCAGCCCTATACATCTTAGCGCAAAATATACGATATCATGTCAGGGTTATTACTTTTCAATGTGCATAATTCCCTCTCTCTCTTCCTTGAAGTTCTAGTTTTATGGCTATGTTATCATTTAAAAACTAACCGTCCGGAAATGTCTGGATACCTGTCTTCGGTTCAGTGTTCGACCTCTCGGCATACCTTGTTTCTGAGGCAAGTGCATCGACGTTATTTGTCTACAAATTACTGCATTTAATTTCCCACTTGGAGTGGGAACAAAGAATCAATCGCTGATGAGAAAATAAATGCACACCTTCTTATCCTACATAAAATCTACTAATGTTATGAAATCAAAATGGAAATCACAAGGACAGAAAACTACGCAATCAATACATAAATTTTCCCTAATAGATTTATTATTTCTTTTTTGAGAAAGTTTTACACCAGAAACAGATGAAAAAGTTCAGAATACGAAGTACATACAGTTCTTGCATGGGTCTGCCTATTTTCCAAATGATTGGCACCAGGCAAAGCAGGAAAGTCCTCATTCTGGATACGGAACTCGACGTTCTGTGTCGATAACGAATTCCCATCACTTGTTCGCATCAAATTCGCTGCAAAAAGCGTAATCTCAAAAGCAACACAAAGATCAAAATAAATTTGTCAAAAACCTCCCATCTGATTTAAGCTAAACCTAAATACCTCATAGTCTAGCATTCTGTTGTCGTGTATAATTAATCAGGTGCTAATCATTATATTATATCGATTCCTTTGGAATCTTGACCAATCCCCGAGTAAACTTTTCTCGTTAACACATGGATTCCAGGGAATAACTTTAAATGCTGACAAAAATTTACAGAACGATCAAAGGACGTCTTTTTATTAAAATACCTTATGCTCCAATTCAATCCTAGTCTTTCCAATCCCAAATCATAGCTGCTTTCTTTTACAAAAAAATTTTAGGTCGGATTATATTCCTTGCTAAATTTCTCGACGATACCTTAACTTATGTGAGTCTTTACATAATGAAATTAGAAGATATTTGGGACTGGCCCATTTGTAGTTTTAGTCTACAAACTACAAAAATTTTAACCATAAAATAACTATAAAGTAGCAAGTAATTCCGTAGTCGAAAACAAAATAGAAAATCTTTTCAAAAACATCTAATGGTGGAAATACCGGTAAGCCATAAAGATTAATCTTCTACTGCAGATATTGTAACAGTCACTTATCTCTAAGTCTTTTATTTCTTGGAAATGGAACTGAATAGTTGGTTTTCATTGCTACAATTTATACCATATCTATTATACCCAGAATAATTCAATAATCAAATCTTTCTGCATTTTCTATTACTGAACAATACATTCATGCATTTCCGTGACTTAGTCTGCTCACTTCTAAGCATTGATTACTGCCTCTTTCAACTAAAGGAAATTACAGCATACATCACAATACATGAAATATAAAATATATGAGGCTCAATTTGTATCATCACCCAATTAAAAGAGTAGCTGACATAATAACGTAACGAAATGAATTTTCGAAATTTTTCTTTTAAGAAATTCTTTTATTTCTTAAGAATTATTTGGAATCAGTAAAACAACTCCAATGCCATCAGTATGCAATTGAAGGATGTAATTATTTACAACAATGTCACTGGTCACTGCTGCATTGCTTTATGTTTTCAGATGAACCACTGAAGAATTATTTCAACAATATCTGGTCATTACTTAAAGTCTATTTTCTAGACGTTCCCTACTTTTTGCATGCTGCTTCTTGAATAAAAAATACTTGAATAGAATAAAATAACTCACCATAAGGGGCTCGCTGTAGAGCATTGTAGACGTCTTTTGAATAAAGATGGTTTTGTGGTACAGATGGTGAGGAGTAATTACTGGTGGTCGGCAATGAATTAAATGTAGAGGACGTTGAGGATGGTGAGGAGCGAACCCCCAAGGATGGAAATTCCGACTCGTTGATAACGTTTTCCGGAGGAATTAGCGAATTACGACAAGCTGATGATGTTGATGACTGTGATGAAAGTCGGTTACGATCAGCCAATATACCTCCACTACTGCTCATCGAGCTCGATCAATCGTATATTCACGCATGGGTATGGTAATAATCTGCAAAAAAGGTAAACATTATTTTCTTCGCATTTACTTACAATAAATAACAGTCACGACTGCACGACGTTTACAATTATCAAACAAAAAAAAATTTTTTCTCAAAAAATAATCATATACGTTAAATGTTTTCATCACTGTCGAAGTTATTCGCACAGTAAAAAAGACATCTCTCTATGCACTCTTTCCGCATGAATTTCTGTAAGATAAGTTATAAAATAAACATTACATCTCACAAGGGTAACCCTATTTTAAACTGATATAACAGACAAGTTAGAATAACTGAAGAACAGTTAACAACCATGTTTAGTGCTGCATATGTCGAGTTACATTATTACCCACTTCTCATTTACAACAGTTTTAAGCAAAAAAAAGGGAAAAAAAAAAACGAATGCTTTTTGTATCACAGTTCAAACGCCATACTACACTCATGAGGAAACTAATATACACTAAGTAGCAGAGGATCAAAATGTTGATTGTTACGGAGAATGAGTTATTAACATAAGACAATCTTTCAGATCTCAGCCATCTACAAACTACTTTTCGTCGATCATTTATGACCAAAAGATATTCTTGTTTCAGAAACTGATCGACCATTTGCACCAGTTCTTCTATTCGTTTCCTAAATTAGCTCACTGCATACGATTTACTTGTAGGGATTGATATGTAGTGATATTGACTATCAAATAATGCACGCCTTCAAATAGTTCACAAATTCAATTCAATTCAACAATTCATGCCCTAAATACAGCACGTACTCAGGGAGTTAGAGTTTTTAAAATCGGTAACACGATTAGTGCGTAACAATTATCGGTTGAGAAGGATAATAACTTTTATTTTGCATTTCAATATGTCTTAGTGTATTTTCAGGAGCATTTTCTTGCTTTGCATAGTTACAGAGATAATATGCAACTAGCTGAGATCATATAAAAAAATGCAGTCTTGTCATGACGCAAAAAATGAAATATAGTCTGCTTCAAACAACGCCTCAAAATCCGAATGCAATTCCACTTAAATTTATTAATCAACCATCGTAAAACCTGTGTAGTGTCGTTCAGTCTCTCTAGGTTTTGTAAGACAAAATATAATCCCAACTTCAACTGGTTATTTCAGAAAAACATAACAGTTCTAAAATTCTAACTAAATGAATATTATGCTCTTTAAAAAACAAAATTTGTCATGGAATAGGTCTAACAAAAATACGGTCATGTGGTCAATGCTTCTACAAGTTATCAACATGAATATAATCCCAACTTCAACTGGTTATTTCAGAAAAACATAACAGTTCTGAAATTCTAACTAAATGAATATTATGCTCTTTAAAAAACAAAATTTGTCATGGAATAGGTCTAACAAAAATACGGTCAATGTGGTCAATGCTTCTACAAGTTATCAACATCACAAAAAAAAAAAATGCTACAAGGCACTATATTTGTCAGAACTTAATGAATAACTGTATCGTAAAGATGCTAAAAATTACTCTCTGCACAGTTCCACTACAAAAATATGCAGACAACACTCTTCCACTAAATCTCCTGTAATAAGATATTCTCAAGAATAACAAAGTTATACGTCATAATAACATTAAAGTCACGTGTTCACTACTAAAAAATATCTTTGAAAAAACAAAAAAGTGATAATTTAAACATATAATATCTACAATAATGTTTCAGTTGTCGCATACATTTCAGCTAATGAAATATGGAGAATGTTATACACTACACTGGCTTCTTTTGTGCTGTCAGAACTCTATCCCTGCATCTGTACTTTTCAGTAACGAACAAAAAAAAAAATAGTGGTAAGGACAACGATGTCAGCTAATATCTTCACCCTCTCATAAAACACTTATGAAGTGTAACAAACATAAAAGAGAATAAATACTACGAGTAACATTCTTAAGTTCCCTGGATTAAATATAACAACACGAAAACTACCTGTAATACATCTCCATGATCATACAAAAAAAAAAACTTGATGCAGCATTATGCATTCTGCTAACATTTTTAAGAAAAAAAAAAAACATAACATAAAGAGTAAAAAAATAAAATAATGAATGAACAAGGAGAGAACTTCAAATCTCATTCTAATATAAAATGTAGGTGAGTGATCGATAAAGTAGTTGAAAGATAAAATAAAATCTACTAGACAACAATGGCTATTATGCAAAAAAAAACGATCGTCAAACACTAGCAAAATTATGTGGGACAGAGGTAGTAGAGTGAGTTCTGCCATCTAACAATAAACCTTTGTTTGAAGTGAAATTTCCCATTTCACTACATCAACACTCTAGTGCATGCATGCATGCATGCATGCATCATGCATCATGCTGAGCAAACGCTTCTTCCATTGAATAAAGGAGTAGTGAATAATGCGTGGTGCTATTGAATGGAATTAACACTCGTACGTCACGGCAATCTTCAAAGAGATACGTGTCAAAGATCATCTAACCTTGACCACTGCTACTCTCCTAGCCCTAAGTCTCGTTGCCATCGTCACTGGTCACAACGTAATGGTCAGTGCACGACTACGTCATCTTGCAACACTGCAACATTGTGCATGCATGCATGCACACTCCCCCAAATCTTGTTAACTAATAAAAAAGTCATCACATCGAGCATCAGAACTCGCCTTCCTTTCCATCAATGGACCACAATAAATCGACCACTCACTCTTTCGCTCCACTTCTTTCCATCCCTCTCCCTCTCTCGATGTGCAACCATCTCTCACCTCCCTTCCTCAACCTCCCCACACTATCTCGCACCCTCTCTCCGACACACTCTCTATACTATGCTGTGGAGAGTGCATATTAGCAGTGTGGGTGTGAGTGATAGAGATATCAGAGTGGTCCTATTTGGTAGCAAACATGAGCATCAATTTCTTCACGTCCATTCAAATATGTCGACTGATGCAGCTCTCTACCCTTTATTATTTACTTCTAAATTCTAATTTAGTTTTTTTTGTTTACTTCATATTTGTTTGATTTACAACCAAATTCATCATTTTTCTCTATTCTATCTAGTTATATTTAAGATATCATTCCATAAGAATCAGAAATTTACCTTTTGTTAGATATGTCCTTGAGTATTCCATTTGAAGATAATCGATGAACAGGAAAAATTACAAAGTTTCGTTTTTAGTGGTTTATTCAGTTTGCCAATCATTTGAGTGTAGCATTAGAAGATTACATTAAATCGTTTAAATGTAAACAGTAACAGATGCATAATTTGATTAAATTTTGAATTGATGATTTTGATGGCCGATCCTGTAACGTCCAGTGATCTGTTTAATTGATAATTTCAGCATTGCAAATATGGGATGAATTGGCGTGCAGTATTATGGTCACGCCTCAGTTTGGGTGTTTTATCAGTTATATTCTTACTACTTTATGTTGCTCAGTACAAAAAATATCGCTCAAATTATGCTTATTTGTCTGACAAATGTTCAAAATTAATGGTACATTCGGGTGGTTTGAGTGCACAATTACAGTGTAAGTTAAATTTTTGACATTTCGGTATTAAATAAAAGACACGTTTACAAAGCATTTACTCAACTGATAAAGAACTAAACACGAAAGTGAGCTTTCTTTTTTTCTTTTTATTTTTATGAATAAAAAAGGTTTTTATAAAAAGGGTTCTTTTCCAATATTTTGTCAAACTGTTTGAATCCTCCATCTTTTTTGGGATGGGACGACCGAATGAATCTTTGTACTGTCTAAAGCTGGGTCCAAAACCTTCAAAGGACTGGTTCATTTTTAAACTAAAATTTAAATAAGATAACATTCACATGTGTAGAAAAGATTTTCAGTGTTTTTATAAAACGTAATTCCTGCATAACACTGCAGATAGGTTTTGCAAGTTTCTCTTATTGTTATCATTTTTTTACAGTGTTAGTGGAGCGAAACCATCGGACAGAAAAATTATTGGCTGATTTACGTGCTAAATATAATCAAGTTATGATAGGTAAGCGTTGCCAATTCCATGGATATTCCAAAGAAGATTCCAAAAGTGCTTAATGCGATGTTAATAATTTAGGACAGTATAATATTTTATAGAATTAGATTCCAGATTTTGGTTACTTTTCTAATTATGGTATTTTATAATTATAATTACTGTGTTGCTTTCACTGTTTCTTCTTTACGTATTTAAGTCTACCAATATCTCACGAGTACATCTTGGTAGAAACTTTACAATTAGCGTCGAAATGAAGCGAAAGAGATAGTATGGTATACTAAAGAGCACGTGTAAAAGATATTTTCGTAATGCTGGATTTTTTTTTTTTTTTTTTAATATTTTGTTTTATTTAGGAAACAATGAGAAACGACAAAATATTCAAGTACAATGGTTAACTTGTAAGGTAAGAATATATGCATGTTCTTTAGCGATTTACAATTATAGCATGGAATAGTTCTTTCTATTTGAGGACGACATCTGTGATTGTGTAAGTAAATAGTTAAAAGAAAAATTGAAGTGAAGTTTTGACAGGTTTAGCAGCTTCAGCGCAAGCTTTTGTAAATCTAAAATGCACTTTGCCCTAATGATGATCAGTGTTATCCTATGAGTGCACCTGAGTCGTTATGGCAAGAAACATGAGAGACTTCTTGAAAGAGACGCAGTGTAACAGTTAAATCTTCCCATTCAGTCTAGTATGATTAAGGTTTTATGGTTCCACATTTTTCTGGTTCTGATTAACGCTTACGAAGCTTATGAATCTAATTGGAAAGCTTATATTGTTTTCATTACTTTCACACCATGTTAAATTCGGATTTTGGGGGATCAAGATTCTAGGTGATTTTATGCTAGTGTTTCAGGAAACATTGAAAAAATGTTTGGCTGGAGCGGCAGTGAGTGAAAAACAGCTGAATGGTACAAGTGGTAATTTATTTCAAATTTTTTGAAAAAAAAATTGGCATATTTCTTGAACAAAATTTTTGGCATATTTTTTTCCTTTCTCCCTTCAGTATTTTTTTTAGTGACTTCTGCTGTTTTCACAACAGTGTTATAATCGTTTTTTCGCCATCAGGATTTTTTTTTTTTTAAAGTGCATATATTGCCTAGAAGTGAAATTTCGGCAGGTTCATTTTTATCGAGTTTCTTGCAATAAAAGTTTTTGATTTTTCAGTCACTTTCAGATACCAATTTTCAAGGCCATTTCCTTCAATGTCAGGTGTGCTATTTACCGTTATCTTCCATATCTCTTTAATTTCTGCTAAAACATAATTACATAATTCTTTCTGATGAGTAATTTTAATACATATCTAATTGTTAACTTATACAGCTTTGCATTCTTTTATTTCTCCATTAAAATGTCCTTCTGTTGCAGTAAAAAGAAAGGAACTTCTTTGCATTCATGATTCCTTAAATTCAGCTGAACGTAGTACATACTTCTAAGCTGTACTTGTATCAGTCGTAATTGCTTTCAGGAATTATTGAGTTCTTACTTTCTTTTTTGTTGTTTTTCAGACAGAGATACAAGAACTCAAGAAACAAGTTGAACAACTTAAAGGAGAAGCAAAGAATATTTCGGTATTTAGTTATTTTTTAACCTTTTTTTGTAAACAGTTAAATCAGAAATAATCTTGTCGATGTAATGGATACTTTATGAGTTCATTACAGTTAGGTTTTTAAAGAATTTGAGAATTTTATGTCTTGCCGATTCTATGCAAACCAACACTTAATATTTTTTTTTTTTTTTAGATTATAAAAAGTGAATGTGAGAAGCTGCTAATCAATTCGCAGGTGAGATTAATGGAAAATTTTAACTGATAGTTCTTTGTTTTCAGTGTCAAAAAATTTTTACCTTGGGTCAAGCGAGAATTGTTATTATTAAGACTCTTGTAGGAAACTCGAATACGGTGTAGGTCCAAATGCTTTTATTCATTTTACAATCTAAAGAAATTTAGTTTCAAATTTGTAATTTTCTGCAAAGAAAATGACTAACGTATTTTCCTTAATCATAACATTCGATCATAGTATGAAAATGAAGGCCGTCTTTTCTGTCGTGATATTCAAATCATGATTAAACAGAAAAAGAAGGATGGCATAAAAGAAACAAATTACGTGAGTAAAATTTTTGAATTAGGGCTTTTAAAGCTTTAATTGGATTATTTGATGAACTGTTACGATAAACGAAGAACTTACATTCTGTGGTGAGAATTTTTATTTACTGTTTCACAAAATTTACAGCCTTTTTAACAGAGATGAACAAAACTTGGAAGTCTGAATCTAATTTTTACATCAAAGTATCTTTATAGCTTCTAAATACTTTAAAAGAAGTACCAGCGATTTATCCATCACTGTTAATTTATATAAATTTCGGTAAAAACATAGAAATAGCAGCTGCTCGGGAATTCTTTGTATCTCTAGTTTGCTTTTGGCATTTCTCTTTGGTAACCTTTGGATATGGATTTAAGATGGATATTCGTCCAACTTTTCATAGATGATACTGGGTGGATGCTCTAATGTTTGCATGGGTGGAGGCAGTTGCTGCTGTTGTTGTTGCTGTTGAATAACTGTGTTTGTCCAAGCTCCCGAAAGTTCATCAGAACTTCGATAAATAATTGTTGTTGGTGATGGATGAATAGTTGCAGGTAGTACAGATGAATTATTATGTAATATAGTCTTCTGTTCCATGATTTGCGCTGGTGGAGTAGCCCAACAAATATTACCTGTTTGTCCATAGTTGTCCGGTAAATGAAACATTGTTGGTGGGTGGACCAAAAGCTGAAACCAAACTTTGTTATAAGTAAAAATGCCAACAGCATTCGAAAGTTACAATTATACCGCTAAACTTTTATTGTTTTTTACAAATTTCATAACCTATTTAAAGAGGAACAAAAGTTTCTAGTTTGATTTTTAATGTCAAAAGTTTTCATAGTTTCCCCTGAATAATAAGTTGATTTAATTTCAAATATTCCAAGACAGTATTAGGAGTCTGTTATATTTATATGTCACATAAGCTTAAAACAAGATACGAACTTTTATAGGCTTGAATTAGCATTTCCTGAAACTGTAATTAAAAGTTACCTGTTGTTGCGCCTGTCGTTGCATATACTGTAAGAACCAAGGTTGTAAATTCAGCGTTTTGTCTTCTGCGCCAGTACATTTTGTCATACGCCTCATTCGTCGTCTGCAAAAAAAAGATTTTATTTTGTAAAGTCTTAGCTCCTGACACGTACGATTACAATTTTAAACTTTATGAAAATTATTTCACTCGTTTTGTCAATTGAAATCTTTTGCAATAGTATGCCTCAGAGAGTATCGGATAGCTTAGAAAATGTAGCACGAAGAATGCAAAGTGATATTTGCAAAGCTCTTGTGGTCATCGAATGGTGTTTTTTTGCATGAATCAGTTGTCTGAGCAAAAGTTAATCGACTTCGCGCTGGCGCCTCTTTCATTCTTTTTTTCTGGCGGCCTTTAAAATTACTTTTTAACGTTTCATCCTTTTGTAGTTAGAGAGAGAAGGATAGGAGAAAGAAGATAACACTTTAATTCCTTTAAATTTTACTTATTTCGCATTACTACAGGATAACTAGAATGTATCATTCGTTATGACAAGTAGTTTGCGCGATTATCCACTGATTATTGTTAATTTGGAACAATTGAACTTAGAAAACTAATCCTTCTCAATATCTCTGCCTAGTTAAATATTTCGAAGCTGTATTTCTTAGATATTATTTGTTATAGTAAAAGGTTTTATTTTCAAAGCATGTTCAAAATTAGTATCGCCTTCTTTGAATATTACTGAATGTTTTCGAAATATATCTGATTAGGATAATCGTATACTGTTTCTAGCTAAAAAATACTTTCTTTGCTTATAATGAGGTTAATAATATTTAAAAAGCATAACATTAGTTATACCTCCTTTTGAAATTTCCATTATCAAACATATTGATACTATCTGGTGATAATGTCCAGAAGTTTCCCTTACGATCATTTGCTGGTCCAACACCATCACGTGCTTTCTTGATAAAACAATCGTTTAAGGACAGATTATGCCTGATGCTATTCTGCCATCCTTGACGTCTTTTTGGATCACAATTACGGTAGTATGGAAAACGAGCGTCAATATACTGTAAGCGATAGGACAGATGATGGGAGAAGTCTTTTTTCATCCAGGTTGATTCATACCGGACTTCTTTACTATCCTTTTGCTTTTTTATGATATATGAATAGTTTTTCATCATGAGAAAAGGATAAAGTTTTAATGGATATTAGTCATTCTGTGTATTTGAAACTTGAGTATGAAGTACTTTAAAACTTGTGTTTATGATAGACGAGATTTTAAAAGTAATTTAAAGTTCTAAAAAAAGTGTAAGAATTGCTGGAGAGATGGTTAAAGTGATATCGCCGAGAATATTGTATCTTAGAAAGGTAAATGCATTATTAAATTTTGAGGTCTGTAGTTTAGTAAAGAGATTAAAGAGATATATAATTAAATCTGTAAAATAATCTGTGAGAAAAATTCAAAAAGAAAGTAATACGTGATAGATTTGCGATAGAGTCATTTGTCGTTCAGGTGAATCACTTATTGCCATCGTAATCAGTGCAACATATGAATAAGGAGGTTTCTCACATTCATTTCCTTCTTCCCTGAAATTGGAAGTTATTTGTATGCTATCATTAATCCAAAAGAACTTCAAACATCATTAATTGATTTGAGTGAAACAGAATTAGATTATGTGTAATAACGTTGAATACATTAAAAATTGATGTTATTCTTCTGCTTAGTGATTAAGTAATGATTTACAAAAAGTCTTTATCAATTTAATAATTTAATTTAATATATAGGCCAAAAGTTTAAATTTTCTCAAGTGATTTCTTCTTCCAGTAATATGAACAAATATTTTTAAATTATTTGGTAATGTAAATAAAATGCAAACATCCAATTTAAATTTTCTAAAAAGAAAGTAGTTCAGAAAAATTATTTGAGAAGACGTACAAACAATTAATAAACAAATAGAGAGAAGATAATTACTGAGTACTGTTGAAGAAAGTTTAGATTTGTTTTTGCATAAATAAATTTAAAATAGATATGCATGTCTTGGTTTAAGGTCTCATTGGCTGACTGTAAAGAAGGATGCGGAAATTGGTCTATGTTAAAAGCAAATTAAAATTGAAATAGAGTTAGTAAATGAAGTTAGATGTTTTGGCCTATTACTTTTACATCAAAGAAAGATGAGACTTGTTGGTGACATTTCACAATATTTAAAACAGGAGAAAATAAAATTGGGAGCTGAGTTCTGTAATATAAATATTTGTTTTTTTTTTTTCCTCTTTTTTTTTTTGGAATTAAAATATTGCTTAGCGTTTGAACAGATGTTTGTCGGGCTGATTTGTTAATTCTTTTTTCTTGCTATCTATTTTTATACAATCATTTCTTTATTTTCCCACGAAGGAAACTTGGGAAAATCAAAAAGTAATATTTATGATTGTGATACAGATTTTATTTGAAAAATGCGATCAACCTGATGAATAGATATTTGACTTCTTACGAATTTAAAAAGATTAGAAGTATTCATCTACGCTTAAAACGCTTAACAGTTTATGAAATTTGGAAAAATATTGGAAAAAAAAAAGAACTTACAAAATAGTTCGGTTGGACATTAGCGAGTTGAATTGCTTTGCTGATGTAGTGTTTGCTACTGTAGAAGAAAGAAAAGGGAGGATGAAAAAGATGATGACGCTTGTAATGCTTTTGCTTAAAGGAAGCAAAAATATACAAGTATTAGGCCTATCATCTCGGCATGCTTTTTCCTCCTATTCCTTTCATACATATACACTCAATCACTGGAGCCCGTTCATGAAAAAAACAGTTCATCTCTGCTTTTTTTTTTTTTCTTCACACTTTTTGTTTCTTTTTTTTCTTTTTTTTTTTTTTTTTATTGCCCACCTTCTCTTACTCTTCAATTCTTCATTTTCATAAAGACATTTTTCTATTACAGTATGTTTTTTTTTTGCCGAGTTTTAAATCCAACAGTCTAACTGCTAAAGAGTGAATTAGAATAATTCATTTGTTTTTAATGTGTAAGCTTTTTTGGTGAAGTTTATTTGTTGTGTTATATTTGACATGAAATTATAGTTGTGATGGGATATACTCTTTACAAATAACTATTTGTAAATTTCTAACTCCATGACATAGTTATCATTTTGAATTAATGTTTAACTAAATGTCGAAGAATAATCGATAAATGTTGGAAATTTTTTTTTTAATTTAATGTTTATTTTCCTCTTCAAACTTATTTTTTTGTAGTCAACTCAAACATCAAGACCAAATTATGTCCAAAATGGAAAAGTGCATTTTAAACGTTTGGGACGTCTGAACGATGAGCTTGAATTTCGACGTAATCCTATTCTGCCTCAGTTACCGACTTTTTTATCCAAGAAAGAGTTGCTTTCAAGGCTTTCTGAACAAAATGCTCAGAATAAGCATCAAGAACAAATTGCTGGTATGTTTTATGTCAGTATCACATTAGATTTTTTTTTTTTTTGAGTGATTGCAAATAAGTTCTTATGTATTGCTTTAAGTATAAATTGCTATTGCTTTTAATTGAAGAGTCCTCTATTATTTCAACTCTTTATTATCTTTGTTTTCATTTTTTTTATTTCATTACTGCGATGTCGAGTGCAAGATTTAAATCGGATGATATATTACTAGTATTTCTGAGCGTTATAATCTATAAGTGCAAATAATTTCTTATTTAAATGAGTTTTGTCATATTAACTTTTCGACAATATTGGTAGACAAAAGTTGTTATTCCTTTGTAAAAATCACACCTTTAATATTTAAGAGAAATTTGATTTTGAGGAATGTTTTGCAATTAATATACAACCATCTTTTTTTAGATAACGCTGCTGAAATATTTGACGTCGCAGAACAAGAATACAAGGATTACAAAGATGCGGTATAGTTTTTTTTTTTTTTTGAATTTTACTCTGCAGTGTTTTCATGCTTGTTTCATTAGCTTTGTGTATATTAAATAACTCAAAAAAAGTTCGTATCATTTCTTCATCTTATTATTGCATCAGTAAAACTAAATCGATTACAAAAAATTGGAGCCTGGCTTTGAGATTTTTTATTGTCTTCATTTTGGATTCACATTCATTCTGTGGTTGCTTTTTTAGTGTAATGTATAAATAAAAAATTCAGAATCAGGCCTCTGAATTCGTCATTATTAAGCTTCTCATTTTCAGTTATGGTAAACGATTCGATCGGAGTGGCTTTTTCCAGTATTCAAAATCAGTTAGAATCAGTGCTATCAGTATTTTTGCTCCAGTTTATGAATCTGTCTTATTATAATGCAATATTATAGAGTGCTTTCGATTTTATATTCCTATTTTCTCAACTGTTATATTCATTTAGGTTTTCTCTGATCTGAGCTATCTATCCAAAATACTATGATTTCTTCAGAATTTGGTGCTGTTGAAATTTTTATCTTTCTGTGTTGAAGATTTTTCGGGTTTTTCCTGTTGTATTTTTCCAATCACACTTATGAACAGAGATGATTTGGTTTATATATTTTTAACGCAAGAATTTGCTTAAGAAATGATTGTTGGGAGAAGCAAGTTGAATTATGAGAAAGAATGGAATATGGTAAAGGGTAGAAGATAAAGGATTTCAGTGGATTCATAAAGTAGTTTTTAGAAATTTGTCTGAAAATGTTAGACTGTTCTCATGTATGCTTAGTAATATTTTTCTTATCCCGGTTTTTGTTTAAATTCTAATCCTTAACATACATTTTAATTTTTTTTTTTCTTTTTCTTAATTCTCACTGTATATAATTAAATAGTCTGCTTGCATTCATAAATGTACATTTTCATACCGCAGAAGTATTATCCTTTATCTGTTTTATTTTTATTGTATCTCATTACATTTACCTACGTATATATTCACTTTGATTTATTTATTCGGTGATAGTTTTACTTTTTTGCTTTAATTTGTAGCACTTGATTATCGTTAAGGTGAAAATACATGCATGAAATGAAGTAGTTATTGTTGCTTGGAAAAGTTTTGTGAGACGAGAAGAGAAGAATTTAAACATATTCGGTTGAAGTTAGGAATTTTGATATTCTGAAAGATGTTACGATGTGAGAGGATGTGTTTCTCATTTTGTCATCTATTATATTATATCATAACAAACTTCAATGATACAATAATTTTTTTAACAAAAGACATTTGATAGAACGATGACATCATATATGATTATTTCTATATAACAGAATCATTAGTTAATAATCAATTTTTTGAAAAAAAAAAAAAAAAAATTGCTTCCCATATGCAAAGATATTGTGTGTTATATAAAATTATTTTGTAAATTATCGATGAATCCATCTATATCCGAAGAAATGGTTAGAGATTTATGTAATTCTTTCTTGAGCGATAGCGATTGATTCATGTTTACTGTTTAGGAATAGAATAAATAGATTTGAGCTTTGGACAGATATAATTATTCATTTTAAGAAGAAGTAATTTTGAGTTACATTTGCTATAGATGTTGTTTCAGATGAGAATGAACTTCTTTGCAGTGTGCGAAGGTATCGATGAACTGGTGGACATAGAGGTCGTCGACAGATTCCATGTGATTTTAGCAGTAAATTGATGTTACAATGAAATGTGATAGATGACTGAAAGTGATATTTTCATTTGTAAATCTCATTTAATTTATTATTTGTTAAAATTGATCGATTCTTTTCATTAAGATGAGTAATGTATTACTTTTGTAATAAAAATATAACTGAACTAGTCCTGTTTTTAAGAACTAGGCCTAAAAAAAAAAGACCTTAAATTTAGATCCTGGCTTTTTTTTTTAATTTGAAATTTATAATATTTGCAAATATAAGTGGTGTTCACTTCAGTGTTGTAATGAACGAAGAAGGGAGAGTGAATTCAAAATGAGAAAGCTGTCGAGAGTAAAAGTGCTGACATAAAAGGTCACTTAAATAACTGTTCAATAAATTTGATTTCTTCTCTTTCAGTGAAATTATCATTGTATTTCAATATATATACATATATTTATACGTATGCTTTTGCTTTTTGTAATTTACATATTATTAGATTTTACCTGATCAATATCCAATAAGAATATATTTGTTTGAAGACCACCTTCAAGGTCACCATCATATTCCACGTTTGGCATTATAGCAGGAAAAAGAGAGCAACCAAACTTATCAATAATTGGTACCGGAAAGAAATTAGGTCGAGGATTTGAAATCGTACAATTGTTTACTAAAATACAGAATAGACCACTTTGTTGTTGTTGTTGTTGTTGTTGTTGTTTATAGTTGCATGTCCAATGGTGATAGACTGGTTCACCAATTCCAACTTCCCTGCAATTGCAATTTGGTCAGTTTTTTTCTCTCAACATTTTTTACTCAATTTTGTTTTAATTCCAGAGTTAGTTTTCTTTTTTTTTGCTGTAGTCATTTTGTTAACATAATTAAATAAAATAGGATACAACTGGATACTTTGTAATGAAATACGAAATTTATGTGTAAAGTTAATTACATCTTTCAGATGTGACATTCTTCAAGTTCCGCCTAAAATTTAAATTAATTAAGAATTCTGAACCGATATTTAATTCCATTTTTTCTTTAAAAAAAAAATCTTTGTTAATTAAATTGGAAGTCAACAAATTGAAATCTATATTGGATTTTAAAATTAAAATTGAAAAATAACATTGAAAACTTATTGAGTTCAATATGAAAGTAAAATAAATGGCATTATTTAATTATTACTATCAGTGGTTTATATATAAAATATTTTGAGCAATTCTTTCAATCTGAGAACTAATTTTTGATAAAACAAAAAAAAAAAAAAAAAAGAAATGAAAACATTTTAAAATTATTTTCCATTCATTTTGAAAATTCTCAATAAGTTGCCAAATTGAAAGAATGATAGTTAATAAGATAAATGATAAAAATATATTTACAGTGTAGATAGATATAGCTACCTCTTCAATTCCGCTCCATTCCGGTTATGAGACCGTACACGATATTTGCAGTCCGGTTCTGGGAATTTACTAACTGGAAGATTGATGATATCATCATCAGCAATATTGTAATCATTCAGTCCATTCACCAGCACTATAGATGCTATGCAGGAAAATAGTAAAATTTGAAATGGAATTGGAATCGAAATAACCATATTTGAAGTATTTATTGTTATTGTTGGTAGTCTGAGAAGTTGCAGATTCATTTCCGGTTTATTTCCAAACTTCCTAAGTGTTAATACAGTCAAAAATCACTTTCTTCCAGTAGCCGGTTATTTACTCCTCGTCTTCCAACTTTTGTTTTTTTTTGAAATGCTGAAAAAAAAAATGATATACTAAATAAATAATCACATCTACTAAATTCTATTCATTGATATGACAGCAATAAAATAGAGAATGAGGATAAGGATGACAGCGTTGACAATTGACAATGAGAAAGGTATCGAATTGTTGTGTCACCATTCTTTAACTTCTCTCAACTGAACCATATCACAACAGCATCTATCAGTTGTATTCTATCCAATTATTTATTCTTTTCTTCTTCAATTTCAATTTTATCAAATATTTCTAAATTCTAAATATATCAGACATTTTCTAAAATTCTAAATGTATTACTATGTAAATAGCTTTTATTCAATATGTTTCACTTCACGTCATTTTCAATATTACTTTATCCCAGCTATTGTAGTGAAGTTTATAAGAAATATTGCGATATGAAAATGAAATTAAAGTTTAGCGAATTATTCACATTTTTTTTTTCTTTCACAAATGCAAAATTTTTGAACAAAAAAAAAAAAAAAAAGTTAATTACTACAATCACAAATAATGATGCTATTAATTTGATTTCTTAAAGGTGACAGAAATGAGTTCATTAAAATTTAATTTTCAGATATTCAGTTAAATTACTTTCCATTTTAATAGGTATATTTTATATTTTTAATATTTCCACACAGAAAGAAAGAGAATTTTGAATTTCAATAATTAAAAAAGATCCTTGTACAACTTACATTTTAATCATATTACCGTGAAGTATGAAAGTAAAACGATGCAATATGTAAGATATTATTTCAGTGAATAATTTAATGAAAATTAAGCAAATAATAAATTGATTGCGAGATATATTCAAACTAACTGATAATGGATGGTGTCGGATTGTACAAATAACATTGGTTGGTATTAAATATTTCAAATGAATTAATTTTATTGTGAAAATCAAATCACCTGTTCATTTTATAATTTTATTTGTATTTGTGACATCGAAAATGACCTCTAAAATTGCCAATTTAAGAAGAAATTTTGTAAAGAAGTATTTATTCTTAGTTATTTCTGTTATTGTTAAAATTTTGAATTTTTTGTTGTCTATGTCAATCAACTCCTTTCATGGGTTTCATGAGCGGAATGAGTTTGTTCGCTAGCAATATTTTTATTTTTTGATGAGAAATGAAAATTTTTTTTCAAATTTATTTTACGATTACTTTTCAATTTTATAAACTTTTTTATATTAAAGTGATTGTGTATAATTTTGATAAAATGATAACAAATTAATTGTTTTTTTTTTTATGTTTAAAGTTTTATTTTTCCTATTCAAATATTTTCAATAATTGAGAGGAATGTAAAAGCTAAAATTTAATCGATTTTGTTCATTTTTAAAGTTTTAATCCGTTTAGAGACTGAAGAATTAATTGCATTATTGTTTTAATATTACTTCCAATACTGAATCACAATCGAGTATAACCTGAAGTTGTTATTTAGGTAAAACTTTTTTGAATTTTTATACTAACCTTATCCGTTTTTTTCTGTTTGTTTACATCTATAAACAGAAATGAATAATATCTTATCAGCTCTTTTTATCAATAAAGCATTAAATTTGCAACTCGAAAATAAATCTGAATAATTTTTTTTGAAATAACAATGCTTAATAAATTTAAAACTTTTATTAGTGAATTCTGCTTCCTGAACGACTTTTCTCACTTAAAATTTGAAAACGAGAAAAATAATTTTATCGCATTAAATCTTTTAACTTAGTATCATGGAGTAAAAGTTAGATTTAAAGTTATACACTTTCGAATTTTATAATTAAATTAAGCTTTAATCACTATTATTAATTGATAATGTTAATAGCAACAGTTGAGATTGAAGCATTTAACATTTTGTAATAAAAACTATAAATACCACAAATATTCAATGAAAATTTCAATGATCTCAGTATTGATCAGTTCAATTAATTAATTTTTCTTCATTTAAATTTTGATTAGTCAATCAATTAGTTATTAAATAAATAAGTCAATCAATGAAACCCTCATTTATCACAATCAAATCAAGCGCTAATATTTTGGGTTGCCATGGAAATAATTACAGATATTTGGATATTTCTTCCTTATGTTACTTTAAATTATTATTATCAGTTATCAGAATGATATGATAACATCATAAGTTACTTAAAAGAATAAAATATAGTTAATAAAGGTGATTCTTTTTTGTGGTACTAAATGTTTATGTGAAAATATTGCTGTTAAATTATTGTTAAAATTCTTAAATTTTAACTTATCTAATTCAAATGATAAAATTTTTAAGTTGAAAAAAAAATGATAATTTAATTACAGTTTGTGTGCAGTCAATGAAAATTTGATATTCATTCTTGGCTATTTGGTAAATTTAATATCCCGGAAATAAAGGATAAAATATTGGTTCGATAGGTAAGTAATAATACTTAGAACTTAAAATTACTTATTATCAGTTATACTTATGTTTAACTTATGATTTTGCGGTTGCATTTGAACTAATAATTAGGCTATACTGAAGCATAAATGGAACTTTGTACAAACTTTTTGAGAAAACTATTATTCGTTTTTAATAACGGACAAAAATACGTGTTTAGGTTATTCACGTCTTCTTTAATTAAGCAAATTTTCTTAAAGTTCAGGTAAAATTAGAGGTATTCAAATTTTATAAAAAAAATTAACTTTTGTAATAAAAATATATAACTAATGACTAATACGTACCAACGTCATTGGTGATTAATACGTGTTAGCGTCACTAATGATTAATACGTGTTAGCGTCACTGATGATTAATACGTGTTAGCGTCACTGATGATTAATACATTTGGAAACGCTTGCCAAGAAAAATATTACAAATAGTGATTATTTTTTAGGTATATTAATTACAGGTATGATAAACGTCGTCAAGGAGGTTATTCACGTCTTCTTTAATTAAGTAAATTTTCTTAAAGTTCAGGTAAAATTAGAGGTATTCAAATTTTATAAAGAAAATTAACTTTTGTAATAGAAATGTATAAATAGTTTTTTTTTTTTGAAACATACTATTTTTGATAAGTTTGGATGAATATTCTTGATAAATATATGTTATTAGATGCTACAATGTGCCATCATTTCTCTCAAACTAAAAAGTAAAAACAATATTTTTTCTATTTTAATAATTTTTTATTTTCTAATGAGTTTTTCTCAGAAGTTTTTTAAGACTAAACTTTTAACTTTTTTTAGCTTTTTTTTTTGTACACAACAAAGAAAGAAAATTTGAATATTTCATACATTTGAATTTTTAATTAATTTATTATCCAATTCAAACAATTACAAACCAATAGAACCATGGATTTTCATATTTATTGATGTAACATTTTCGAACAAATTTATTTGTAAAATTATTTCTCTTTTTATTGTTTACAGATTATTTCTTGTGAATATATTTTTCCTAGTTTTTCGGACAAAAAATAAAAAAGAAAATTTTGCGGTTTATCTGAAATACTTATTAAATTAAAATTTTATTTAAAACTAATTAGTCAACCAATTTTTTCATAAGCAAAGTTACTTTATCATATTGATTTTATTAATTTTGCACAAGAATGCATAATTTTTGCATAATTCTTATTGAAAATAATATTACTGAAATTTCTCGATAATGGCAATGACACCAAAATGTGTTCATCACTATCAATTTTAAATTGTCACGCGACTGAGATACTTTATTACTACTATTAAAATTGAAATTAATAAGATTAAAAATGAAAATGTCATTCCCTTTTGTAAAATGACTTCCTGTAACTTCAGAAAACTTTCAAAATTTTTTAGAAAAATTAATTTTAAATTGTTTTTGAAGCTAAATTTTAATAATTTACCTTTATTCATTCATCAGTTTACGTTAGATTTCGCTTTTTACATTATTTTTCAGGCGTGAAATGTTAACATAATGCTAAATTTTCACTGATATTTGTTGATTCACATTTATTAGTGATAATCTCTGGTTGAATTGAGAAAAAAAAAAATGCTATCTGATTTTTTTTGCATTAGATTGAAGGTTCCTTTTATGGAACATTACTGAGCAAACTTTTTTCTAGCTAAAGTAATCAAACATTCTTCTATATTTTATTTTTTTAAATTCACCATTTCCTTTACGAACAGTTAAATTATTAAGAGAGAGAGAGAGAGAGAGAGAGAGAGAGAGAGAGAGAAAGATCAGAATTAAATATTTATGATTTATTTAGAACTTAAATAAACTTTAATTGTAGTTTTGTCTAAGGAATCTTTTTAGATTTTTTCCTTGACATTTTATTTATGTCTGTCAATTCCATTTTTCAGTTAAATGAATGATCCAACTTGAGTCTCGCTTACAACGATATCTCCCCCTCTCCCTCTCTCCCTCTCTCTCTCTCTCTCTTTGATCATTTAAATAATTTTATAAAATAGGAAATATTACACAGAACTTAACAAAATTATAAAAAATATTAAAGAACATATATAATTATAAGATGAAAATATTAAGGCGCTATTACACAAATTACCGCTACAATGACAAATTGAAGGGCTATGAACATGATGGCATATCATTTTGTTATCAATCACCTTATCACGAAATATAAATTTTTGACAGCCACGCATAACAAATTGTAAATCTGAAAGGAATGTAAATTTCATTACTAAAAAATATTTCCAATAAATGAGCATAAATAATTATCTTCAGAACATTTCACCTTAAATAAGTAAGCTCCAAAAAAAAAAAAAAATTTGTCTCATTTATTTCTATGTTTTTTTTTTTTTCAAAATGAAGTCTAATCAACTACTTCTAATCTGAAAATGTCACATTGAAATTGAAATAAATTTCAAATTTTAAAAAATTTGAAAATGTAAGTGTTACGATTAATGATTCATTGAATTATATATGTTTGCTTTTAAGGCAAAACATGAAATAATTAATAGCTATCAAATTTTTAAATCATTTCAAGTAAAATATGTACTAACTTTTTTGTCGTACTGTAATTTTGACACACTGATCATCCGGTAAACAATCAATCTGTTTTACGGTTCTGAATGCAACATCTTCTGAATTGATGCATGATTTATCAACCGGTGGTACCATAAAGGTTGAATAAAGTACCGTTTTGAATGCTCGTTGCGCATCCTTACTAATATTCGAAGGTAAATTGGATGCACAGTTATAACAGTAAAGTGCTTCACCAAATAGAAATAACAGAAATTCAAAAATAATTAATGTCACAATGACAGGTGACATTACAGGTGACATTATGTGAATAATTAATTAATTAATTAAACTTACTACTTTTTAATTGCTCTTAAGCGTTCTGTTTTTTTTCAAAAAAAAAAAAAAAAAAAAAAAAAGAAATTGAATATATAGAAAGAATTCAGTTTGAATTTTTGAAGCAGTAATGTCATTCAAATTTTAATAAAAGATGAAAACAGGATTTTTGGAAAATTTTCTGAGAGTTATAAGAGCAATGTGATGATTTTAGGTGGGACCAGCAATTGTAATGATTGTGCCACGAAGTGACATACTGGAAGACAGCTGGACATGATGACATTAGCAGGATTGGAGTTCAGGAAATAAATATAGCAATGAAGTTACCATGGAAACAGGAAAATACTAACCGAAGTAGTTGAGGATGAAATTGCATCCATTTCCGTTTCTCAAAATTTGAAATGTTTCATTTGCATTCTAAAGTGCCTAACAGAATCTCTCAAATATTTGAAATTGTTTAAAGACAAAAAAATATGCATAATGCAATTTTGTCAATAAGATAAAGCATACGAGAAGTAAAAAATTAATTTTAAAAAAAATAAAGAGACATATTCAAACAAAAAATTATTCTTCAAATTCATTTATATTTGTATAAATTTTGCACTTATTAAAATTAAATTTTTTTTTTTTTGTAATTTGACAAATTGTAATCATAACCACAATTATGATCATATAATTAATTAACTGAAATTAAAAAAAAAAATCATATTAAAGTTTTTATGCATTTCTACAAATCAATCAAAGGTTTAATTTTTTTCACAAATATGGAAAATATTTTACAAATTTTAGAATCATTACATTAGTTATCAAATGTACAGTCACCAATCACATGCATAGCAATGATTTAGTGGCATGAAAAATAATTTTGAAATTTAATAAACTTTCATCATTTATTTCCTATCAGTATTTCTTTTTTCCCCCCTCCAAAAAAAAAAAAAAAAATGTTAGTTTTGAATTCATAAATTTTTTTTTTTTTTTTTTTATGCAAAAGTTCAATATACGTTAACTTGCGCTAGCTTACATCTATCCATAAAACACGCATAAAACATAAGTGTCAAAATTAGGACACAGGACAAAAGCTCCAGCTGTACATTTGCGCATTAGTGTACATTTGCGCATTCGTGCGTAAAGTAACATTCAGTTTACATATCTATGCTATGTTGCAATTGAGAATTACAAGTAAACATTGAAATTTCAGTTGCATTTCCATCTTAAAAATCTGCAAAATGTCAATCAAATATAATAACTTTGCTTTTGCATTTGATTCTCAAAAAGATTTAGTATTGGAATTTAGTTACAAATATTTGTTAAAAAAAAATGTCTGAGAAACAAATTCTGTAAACTCTCAATAAAGTAACTACTGAAATTCTTTTTTTTTTCTTTCTGAAACAATTAACAAATTTTTTCCAGTAAATTCAGAGTTTAAAAGATATTTCAATTTGTTTCTTTTTATAAAAAAATATTTCAATTTGTTTCTTTATAAAAAAAAATAAAGTATATATATATAAAGTAAAAAAAAAATAAAATTAACAAATTTTTTCTATTAAATTCAGAGTTTAAAAAAAAAAAATATTTCAATTTGTTTCTTTTATAAAAAAAAATAAAGTAAAAGTAACAAAGTATGAGCTTACAATTTATTTGATCTTTTCTTATTGTATAAATAAATTGTTATTTTAAAAATATTTGTTGTATAATTTGATAACGAGCAGGAAAGTAAAAGGCGCTTGAAATTTGATCAATCTTTGAATAATTGATCAAACAAAGCTAACATATATCTGGCGAATTTTTTTTTTTGCAAATTTAAGTTGGAGATTAAATTTAATTTCTGAAAGAATCAATTATGTAATAAATTTAGTCAATGAAAAACAAAAAAAAAAAAAACAAAAATAAATTTTAAAATTCAAAATTGCACCCGCAATTTGCTAAGAATCAAATTTTTAAGCAAAGAAAAAATTTCGCACCTTTTCGACTATATGTTTGAGTTTGATTTCACTCAAATAATATTTCTTTAAAAGGATGTTATTCATTCATTCATTCATTCCAAGTTTTCTTTTTTTTTTAAATGACTAATGAAATTCATTATTGTTATCAATTCATAGCCATCATTATTATCATCATCATCATCATCATCATCATCTTATCCGTTATCGTTAACCTGTCACCAATTTTTGTGAAAATGCATTCGCCTAAGCAGAAGGGTCGGTTTCATCGAATGATTTACGATCGCCTAAAAATTTATGCCGTACCCTATCTCCTGTATACATCAACTAACAACAGCAATTATTTTCACTTGATTTCTACGTTTGCTTGCGTGTGTACGTCTTACTCTTTGCCTGTGCATTTTGTTTTTGACTGTTCAAATTGTCAATATGATATTTTTTATTTTTAAATTTTTATAAAAATTTCATTTAAAATTTTTAGCATTCTAAATTTTTAGTATTTTAAATTGCTAAATGTTATATCCATAGGAAAAAAAAAAAAAATCGCCGAATGGACTAAACAACTAATAACAAATTTATCAAACCTTAAAAATCATACACCAGAATTTATCAAGCTTTAAAAGTTTTATTTTCAGAATTGCTACTTTTGTTAATGAAAGGGTAGCTGAAGACAAGAAGAGGGAGGAAACAAAAATTTTTAGGAAGCAAACAAAATTTGGGTTGTCACAGTTATAAACCAGTAGTGAAGTGTCCCCCGTATCAGCCGTCCTCTTTTTGCCTTCTTCTTCTTCTCCTTCTCCTTCTTCAGTTACAGTAGTCAATTTGTGAAATTGTCAAAGCGTCACAAATTAGTTAGTTAGGGGACAAAGGAAAAGAGACAGTTCTCTTTCATTTGCTATCATCGTATATTCCAATCCTACATTTACTTATTATTATCACAGCACATCACCTACCTGATTACTTCTAGCTTTCAGCTTTTCTTTTCTTTCTTTTTTTTTATCACCTGAATTTCTACCTATCAAAAAATTCATCTATTCTGGCTATTGAACAACATTCTTACCTGAATGAACTACAACCGATGACTGTTGTTTGCGCACATATACGGTGGAGCAATGCGATACGACAATAAGCTGAGGACGAGCACTGGCGATGAATTATATCATCTTTCTACTACTTTTTCTCGATCCATTTGTCGATTACGTCATCGCGATCTCATGGCTGTAATTCTTTTACTTTTACTTTTTTTTGTTTTTGCAACGATTATATTTAAAAATTTCAAATATTAATTCATCAAAGTTTCAATTTACAATAAATATTAATTTTTTTACTTAATTAAAATTTTTTTATCAATTTGATTAAATTTAGATAAACTGCAAATAGTAAACATTATGTGAAGTTTTAGTTTTAATTGTTATAAATTGTTTCTATATTTATTTGTTTACTGAACTTATTCACAAACTGAAATGCATATAATCATTTATTTTAATAGCACTTCTATTTGATTCAATGAGCTCTTAAAAAATTAAAAATGAAAGTAAACAAAATTCTATGACATAATTGTGTGTGTCAGACTTGAACTAATCCAACAAAAAAGAATCAAATTTTATCTAAGCATAAAAAATTAATTTAATTTCAGATTTAACCAATGTTAATATTTTTTAATTAGATTAACCACAAATGAATAATCAAATTCTATAGTTTTCATTTCGGCAATTTCAAATAATTTAAATATATGAAAAATTTACTTACTGAAAAAAAAAATAAAAATTTCAAAATAATTTTTGCAAATAATTTTTTGAAATTTAAAAATTTCAAAATAATTTAGCAACTTCATTTCTTTGATATTATTATTATTTTGATTTATTTTCTTCAAGTCACTTTCCTTAAATTTGCCAAAATGATCTAATTTAGAGGATTGTTGTAATTAGTTACGAGTATAATTAAAATTTAAACTTTCCATTTGTATCGATGAATAACAAATAATAATAATAATAATAATTGTAGTTTTAGCAAACAACTGTAGATTAAATCAAAAATTTATATTATTCAAAAGAAAAGTAAGAATAAAAAATCAAAAATTATGCTTGAAGTTTTTTTTTTTTGCTCAAATAAAAATATAAAATGCTCTGAAAGCAGAACATCTCATATTTTTTTTTTCCACTTTTAAGCTAAAAATTCTATGGTGGCGCCACTCTGGTATATTTTTTACAGATTTTTACCATCGATCGTAATTCTTTTTTTCATTTTTAATGCAAGTTAGAATGCATGAAAAGTTCTGTGGAAGGGAATTAGTAAATATTAGCTTATAGTAACGAATTATTTTAAAAAAAAAAAAATGTTTCTTTTTTCTTAGTGAATCTTTTAAATTATTAAATTAGTTTTATGATAAGAGGAAAGTATTTATATTGCTCGAGAAGAAATATAACCGTATATATATGTATGTTGTAAAAATTTTTCTAAAATTTAATTTTTTTTTTTTAACATTTATTTTTTTAAAAATTTGAATGATTTTGTTCGGATAATTTTTTGCTTTCGAGAAAAATTATAATTCATTTGTGATAGTTGGAAAATGAGCCAAATGATAATGAGCCAAGAGTGTAAGTATGAGATTATTGTCCAAGTGCAATGATCAATCATTTAAAATTCATTGTCATTCTCGTTTACCTTCTGCTACTATTCCACTCATTCATTCATTCACTTAAATAATATCAGTGAAAGTGGATAGCATCATTTAGTGGATTTAAAATTTCCTTCGAAAAATGACAGATAACATTTGACAAATGAAATCGATTGGTTGTTGAGCAAATGATGGTGACAACGACGACGACAATGATACGAGCAGCAATCCTTTTGAGCAACAGAAGGAAGTAAAACCCATCCCACCTTCCTTAGACAGTCATCAATTTCATTCTGCCAATGTCCCTCTCTTTTCCGCCCCCTCACATTCTGTGACAAGTCACAGACTACCGTATCCCAATCCTATCCATATGCATATTTTTGCAATTGTAGTATATTCCTCAGTAGGAGAAAATAGTC